TTTGGCATTTGGAAGGATAGTCCATTGTCTCCTGTTCTGAATGCAGTTGTGGGTTCCAGGCAAAGGCGCAGATGTCTTGTTTCTCTGTCTTTGTTCTGACGGAGGGCTTGGATTAGCTAAGAAGGTAGCATCAGAAAGCATGGAAGTCAAGCATTCTGATGAGTCATTTCAGTGAATCTGTCAAAAGAGGGTAGTGACAGAGTTGCTGTGGTCACAGGACTTCAGAGCTACGGACATTGGAAGTCATGAGTAGGGGGGGTGTGGGGCACAGGGAGGGGCGGGGCAGAGCCGCTGTCCAGACTTAGCCCACTGCGCTTAGCACCTGTGCTGTTTCCTCCTCGTCTGTTGCTAGACGAGCACATTGGAGTCGGTGTGATCACCAGTCACTTTGGGGTCAGTATGAGCGTCATTTGGGGGTCAGTATGCTCATCTAGATGTTTTAAAGTGCAAATGTAGGGGAAGCTGCCTGCTTAGTAAGGCTTTTCCCTATTAAATACCCTTATATTTCTACTTGGCTCCGTATTGGTAATTCTCCACTTTATACAAATGTCTAGGATCATTAGACATTCTTGCTGTTGTGGTCTGTGTACCAATAGTCTTCACAACATTTTATCAAGCTGCTAGCATTCTAAGCAGGGATGAGGAAGTCTGTCCTAATCCTCATTAGTTCATCCACAGGGGAGTTACAGCAAACCTGCCACCCCCCTGTAAACAGTTTCTCTCAAGAATATTTCCACTTCTCAAAAATAAACCCATGCACCTTCTCTTTTGTTTTCTAGGTGAAATGGTTCAACCTAGAGTCTATAATTTAGAAATTAACCCCTGAACATGTGGGATAATGATTGCTGTGTCAAGAATAGCTTCATATTCCAGTTCTAGGAGGAAATGACTATCGTGCATCACTTTAAAACATCTGCAGCTTAAAACAGCTGTCAAGCTGCCTACCTTTATCGTATCTCCAGACCAGACTTGGACTGTGGATACACACCCAAGTGTTTCGTGTCTCAATACTCTAATATTGTGGGGGGGGGGCACACATGCCACAGCACGTGTATGGAGGAGAGAGC